CCCCTGCTCAGGCAGGAAACCCTATACCATTTCAGAGAAATGGTTGTCCAGTCTCTTCTTAAAAACTTCCAGTGTTGGAGCATTCACAACTTCTGGAAGCAGATTGTTCCACTGATTAATTGTTTTAACTGTCAGGAAATTTCTGCTTAGTTCTATAATACTTCTTTCCTTGATTAGTTTCCATCCATTGCTTCTTGTCCTGCCTTCAGGTGCTTTGGAGAATAGCTTGACTCCCTCTTCTCTGTGGCAGCCCCTTAGATATTGGAACACTGCTATCATGTCACCCGTAGTCCTTCTTTTCATTAAACTAGAGGTACCCAATTCCAACAACTGTTCTACATGCAGTGGGGTGCCTCAAGGTTGTCTTAGGCCCAGTACAACATCTTCATAAATGATTTAGATGAGAGGATAGAAAGAGAACTCATCAAATTTGCAGACAATACCAAGCTGGGGGGAATAGCCAAAACTTTAGAACAGGGGTCCCCAACACCCAATCCGTGGACTGGCACTTGGCCGCAGCATGCCAGCAACCGGACCGCACAAACAAAGCCCCATCTGCGGGATGCAAGCAGTATGCACAACCACACCCTTCTGATCTGCAGAAAAACCTTTCTCCATGGTATCAGTCCCTGGTGCCCAAAAGGTTGGGGACCTCTGCTTTAGAAGACAGACAGTGCATCAGCAATTAAACACTGGGCCCTATCCAACAAAATGCAATTCAGTGGTGAGAAAAGTAAGGTTTTATACTTAGGCAAGAAAAACCTAATGCACAGCTGTAGAATAGGTGGTACGTGACTCAACAGCTGTGAGAGGACTCTAGGAGTTCTAGTGGACAACACTTAAATATTGTTGAGTGTGCTGCAGCTGCCAAAGAACCAATGCAGTCCTAGGTTGCATCGACAGAGGGATATTATCAAGATCACATGAAGTGCTTTAATATACTACTTTGGCAAGACCATACCTGAAATACTGCATCCAGTTTTGGTCACCATGATAGAAAAAAGATGTTGAGAGTCTAGAAAGGATGCAGGGAAGAGCAACAAGGATGATTGGGAGCTGGAGGCTAAAACATATGATGAATGGTTGCAGGAACTAGGTGTTTCTAGTTTAACCAAGAGAAGGACTAGGAGTGACATGATAGCAATCTTCCAATATTTGAGAGGATGTGACAGAGAACAGTTGGTCAACTTATTCTTCAAAGCATCTGAGGACAGGACAAATAGTAATAGATAACTTACAAAGTAACCTATCAAGGAGAGATCCAACCTAGAACTAAGGAGAAATTCCCTGATAGCAAGAAAAATTAACCAGTGGAATGGCTTGCCTTCAGAAACTGTGGGTGCTCCATCACTGGAGGCTTTTAAGAAGAGACTGGGTAGCCATTTGTTTGGAATGGTATCGGGTCTCCTGCTTGAGCAGAGGTTGGTTGAGGAGACTTCCCAAGCGCCTTCCAAATATATGTACCCTTAGGTACTGCTGATGCACTGCTTTTTACAGTTAGCAAAATAACGTTTTTCCATTGCTGATGGAAAAAATAATGCTAAATTAAAATGATACATACTACTTTATTCTGTGTATCATTTTAATTTAGCACTATTTTTTCCATCAGCAATGTCCTTCATATCCAGATCATCCTCCCAAGTAAGTCCCACTTAGAAACAAGATTCTCAATTCAAAATGTATTGCCTGTAAATTCTGCCTGTTTTATTGCTTCCTGTAGACCCTAGCAGAGGAATTTAGGAACTCAGGATGAAAGTAAAGGCAGCTGCCCCCTGAATAGCCTCTTCTGACTGCCTATTTTTGTGAAAGGGGGAGTGGTTCTCCATGGCTCCAATCACCAGAATTTCTTTTTGTGTACTCAGTTGGTCAAACTAAATATAATATTAAATATATACTTTCTTTGCTTTCTAGGACTACAGCTACAGTAGGACCACAAATACAGCCTGCAAATTGGATGGAAAAGTTTCCTTTCCAAAGTAACCATTAGCCCTGGGAATAGTTTGCACAGATAACAATTGATATTTTTGTGCCAGTATGCATGTGATTTTTAACAATTTCACAAAGAAACTGAAGAAACACAAGAGTGTTCAGATACTGAAAGAAGAGAATATCTGTAGCTCATCAAGGGCTCCACAGTGTGCAGGTAGCCTACCATAGCTTTAATTAATTAGTTTAATATTTTTTTTAATTTTTTTATTCATAATACAATTAAAACAAAAATGGACAAACATGACATTCCAGAATGAATTTTCCTAACAGTTTGTTTCTCATGGTACAAAATAATTAGTTTAATATTTAACATTGAATCTAATCATGCATTTCAGAACTTAGAAACTTCAATCTTCTAGTTCGGTGCTTCTCAATGTTGGCAACTTTAAGCTGTATAAACTTCAACTCCCAGAATTCCCTAGTTAGGTGCATAAAATATGGTTAAAATCATGGCTTTGTGTGTGTACGCAACTTTAGATTGATCCCTATGATGAATTCTGAAATCTGGTTTAATTTTTTATTCTTCTTGCACTTTGGATGTGACTGCTCATAAACCACATTAAAGATGGTTTATATAGGGCCTTGCAGGTTCAGAGAAGGTAAGGGGCTCAGTGAGCTTGTATTCCTTCTCATACCATGTCTAAAATCTATATCGCATTTTCTTATCAAACAGTATAGGTCTAATGGAGTTATAGAGGTTTATAGAGTTATACTTCTTCTCTGTCACCCATACTGTATTGTTTCTCTCATTTAAATATTCCCAGATATAGAGAGAAAATTGTTAAAGAAAAATTCATCTATTTAACTATATAAATATTACAGATTAAGGGCCAGTAAAAACATGTCCAACTTAATAAGTGAAAACAAAAAGAGAAGATATATAAATAATAAATACATTAATAAACAGATGCTTTAAGTTGTAATAGTATTTGATTTACAGTTAAATATTCTAATATTTTCTACTTAATAAGCAATCTACTAAATGAAAAACTTGCTTTCAAACAATTTTATCAGCCTTCTAGGTACTCTTTCAGATTTTAATTAAGATAGGATAATATTTGCTAATGCCACTTTTACCTAGGACTACTGAAATATTTTCAAATATTTCACACTCCCCTTCCTTTACATTGCACAGCTCATTCACCAGAGTGGATAAAACTTTTGACATACAAAAGTTGACATACAGCTCGGGTCCAGAAGTTAGACGTGGAAATTAAGACAGCAGCATGTACTGGGTTGGACTATATTAGTAACAAGGAAACAGGCAGCTAAGAGAGGAAACAGACATTTAGGATCTAGATACCATGATATGGAAAATCTGCCATTCCTGGTGTTTACATTTATTAAAGTATTGGGACATGTAATATATGGGGACAACAAAGGAAGGGGGAAGAAATAGAGAATTGTTTTGAATGAATTGGTCAAATGTCTAACTGATGATAGGATTCATATTTCCCAATTTATCATGATTTGTATAATGCGCAGTTGACTATAGCCATGCCTGCCTTAGCCACTATAATACCTATTTGTACAACACATTAAGCCAAAACCAAACATTCTTGGATTTAGAATGAAGTATCAATGCAGCCAATGAATCAGACATTAAAGCTATATTTTCATAGCAAGACTTTTTTGCACTAGACAAAACCAATCAAAGCATTGCATGCACAGACTTACAAAAAAAATGTGCTTATGTACTGTGTCCCACTTCGTTTTTAAAATGCACTATAACCCAGAAGAAATCAATTGAACACCGACAAGTATACCCAAGTGGCAAGATTTTCTTGCCTCAAAATGAATAAACTACTTCAAAGAGGGGGGATCATTTTTATTTCATGTCTGTGGGAACATTATACTGTTGCCATAGTTAATTAAGTGGATGAATACCCTTGAGATCTTGTAATGGTACCTTCTTGCAGAGGGGTAGACTAAATGATCTCTAAAGTATGTCCCAAATGTTTTTCTACAATTCTACAGAAAAAAATTGAAAGTCAACCTAAACTAACATTTACTTAATTCTATTCTATCGCCCATTTATATTCAAGGTAACGCATGAAAGCTTTTCGGTCATCTCGGTGTATCTTTTCCAAGATTCCTGTAACTCCCTGAATACGGAAGGGCAGCCATGAATTCCGCCAAGGCATTCTCAATTCCTTCAACACAGTAGTGACTCTCTAGCAACAAACTGATATCAGCAGAAGTGTGTAATAAGGTTGGACTACAGACATCACTATATCTAGAAAAAGCTGTCTTGGCAGAATCCTGCAGGCACTGAGCAGAATTTGGATATAATACGCAAAGCCTTTCCTGAACAAGGCATTGCACAACGTCAAGTATCGAATCCCAACAAAAATCCCCCAGGCCCCTCTACGGAAATACTTTCCCAGGGGAACGATCTAAACTCTGTTGCAAGCGAGGCTCTTGTCACGTGACACAAAACGCAACAATTTTGATCTCTCAAACATCAGCCGTCTCACTTCCTTCCACAGAGGAGGGAGAGGGGAGGGAGGAGAAAAAGTAGGCCTAACTATAAATTTATCAATGTCTCCAAGCCCCGGGAGGGGGGGGGAATCCCTCAATTAATTGCAAAGTAGGTAAACGAATCATCCATAGCCGTGTTCCGATTGGAAAGCGACGCTGTCCATCATCCCTCAATGGAATCAATCGCATCCTTCAGGTTCCAAACAGGCGCGACCTGTCCCTGTCTAAACCAATGATGAAGGGGAAGGTGGGCGTGGCTAATGATGTCCCGGTTATGAGGGCAAACAAGATGGCGGGGAGCGCTTTCCCTCTTCCCCCGCGTTCTCAGTTTCTCTCCCTTGACCCTCAAATTCGGTATAAGGCGTTGAGGAAGGATCCCTACCCCACATCTCGGAGGGCTCCAAGCCTTTCTAGTTCTATTACCCCGCTCCCGCCCAAGCCTTCATGGGATCCTCGGGGATCGTGAGGAAGGGAAGGGGAAGGAGGTTGCGACTGCGGCGGCACGGGGGGGAGATCTTGACTCTACTTGCCTGGGCCGCCGCCTTGTTCTTCTCCGCGGGGCCCCTGGTTTTCCGCGGAGCGTTCGGGATTGCACCGTCGGTAAAGGGTGGAGGGGGGAACAAGATGTCGGCTCAGCCCTTATCTCTTCAGCGCCGCCCCCTCATGCCCGCAACTTCCAGCCCTCTCGGCCCCGCTGCCTCTTGCCTCAGTACCTCCGCCGCGGCTCCAGCTCCTGTTGCGGGGTGGAGGGTAGGGAGGGAGCGAGGGAAGGCAAGATGGAGGCGGCGGCGGCAAAAGCAGGAGTGCAGCTCGGCCAAACGATGGAGAGGAAAAGGGGGGGGGAGGGAAGGAGGCGGCGAGGGAGGGGGCTGCAGGCGCGCTCGGCTCTCTTTCTCGCCCCCCCGACAAGGACCGCCCCCCCTCCGCTTTTCCTCTCCGGACATAGATCTGGAAGGCCTGAGGGCAGCGGTGTGTGTGGGGGGGGAGGTGACCGAGATAGGCTAATGAACCCTGTGTGGTGGCGGGTAGACCTCGAGGGCTGGTGCTGACAGAGGCACTTGTAGCCTTAGAAAGGGCGGGGGGAGGGGGTAGTCTTGAAACTGGCTGCTTAGGAGGCCGGTTTGGGGACTAAATTGAATTCTGGCGACATGCGAGAGGAAAAAGTGCTGGGAATCATTCTGAGGCAGCAACTGAAGAGCTTGTTCATACCTGATCCAATTCCTACAGGGAGAGTCACTTCCGTGTAAGAACGTGTGTATCCCATATGTAGATTGGAGCATGTGGGCAATTTGCTGCAGGCTTATGCTTTGGGAGGCCCTGCCCAGCAAAATGACAAGTGTCTGAATATGGCCGGGTGAGCTACATGTGATGTTAACATTATGTGCCACACTGTAATAAGTGAGCCTGTTTCTCATAAATTTGAAGAATCTGGGTCTGAATCAGCCTTTCAATCTGCTCTAAAGGTGTTCCCCCTGATAACAATCACTGGCATTGTAATCCAGTATATGCTGGAAAGCACCAGGTTGAAGATAGCAGTCCTGAATTATACCACTTAGGTAAAGGTAAATAGGAAAGATGAGTACTGCTGTGCTGTTTAAACTTTGATTTGTGAAGGGACTGGATTTTGGATTTATGTTGCATATGTTGTACAGAACTTTTTTCCCATTGCTAATTGTTATATTTGCAATAAATTGCAGCCCTATGCTATTACAAGGATTCTAAATGTAATAATAATAATAACAGTTGGAAGGGACCTTGGAGGTCATCTAGTCCAATCCCCTGCTCAGGCAGGAAACCCTATACCATTTCAGACAAATGGCTGTCCAGTCTCTTCTTAAAAACTTCCAGTGTTGGAGTATTCATTGCTTCTGAAGGCAGGTTGTTCCACTGATTAATTGTTCTAACGGTCAGGAAATTTCTCCTTAGTTCTAGGTTGCTTTTCTCTTTGGTTAGTTTCCATCTGTTGCTTCTTGTCCTGCCTTTAGGATGAGTTATGAGTTAGCTAGTGATATAAAGGAGTCAGAAAGTATAAGGTGTCAGATTCATATAAAAAAAAACATATTGCAGTGGATCCAATTCATGAATGCTAAGTGGAAGGAAGAGGAAGAACTTTGGATACTCATTCTTATGCTCTTATTAGCAAGATACTGCATAAGAAAAAAATAAATTGAAATTGTTATATAGTTTGCTCATTAACATGCTTACACCTTTATTACCGGCATGGTATAATCAATTGGCTAAAGCTACTCATGTTATTACTGAATGCAGATTCAAAATGAAAATTGTTGTTGTTAATTGCGAAGTCGTGTCCGACCCATTGCGACCCCATGGACAATGTTCTTCCAGGTCTTCCTATCCTCTACCATCTTCTGGAGTCCATTTAAGCTCACTCCTACTGCTTCAGTGACTCCATCCAGCCACCTCATTCTCTGTCGTCCCCTTCTTCTATTGCCCTCAATCTTTCGCAGCATTAGGCTCTTCTCCAGTGAGTCCTTCCTTCTCATTAAGTGGCCAAAGTATTTGAGTTTCAACTTTAGGATCTGGCCTTCTAAAGAGCAGTCGGGGTTGATCTCTTCTAGGACTGACCGGTTTGAACGCCTTGCAGTCCAAGGGACTCGCAGGAGTCTTCTCCAGCACCCTAGTTCAAAGGCCTCAATTCTTTGGCGCTCAGTCTTTCTTATGGTCCAACTTTCACAGCCATATATTGCAACTGGGAAAACTATATGCACTTGACTATATGCACTTTTGTTGGCAGGGTGATGTCTCTGTTTTTTAGTATGCTATCTACATTTGCCATAGCTTTCCTCCCCAGGAGCAAAAAATGAAAAATGAAAATGCACTGCCTTAAAAGCCAGCTGCTATTATAGGGTGGGAAGTATTCTCAGTCAAGCTGTAATAAAATAAATGTGGATACCCAACTATCCAGAAATTGCACTCTGGCAATTTAGAAATTAAATTTGTAAATATGTTAGATTTTCTCTACTATTTTAATATATATAATTCTGATTAAGTTTGTTTTATCATAACCTCTAATTTGTTTAAAATGTTCCACTTATGAGCTCTGTATTTTTTATGAAATGCATACAATTTAATAAAAGTTACTTTAAAATTAAAAAAATATCCTATTTGTTGCTCTCATCTGTATTACTTATTTAGTAGAATGATACTCCACTTTTTGTGTAAGAGTTTATGAGATGCACACCATATAGGATATGCTCTAGTCTATCCTATTTTTCCCACAGCAATCACCCTCTGAGGTACTGTAGGATGTGCTGATAGCAAATTATTTCCTCCAAATCAACCAATGAGCTTCAGTGGCTGAGAATTAAACATATTTCCTCAATACCAGTCCAAACCTTTCATTATTATATCGCAATCTGATAATAGCTTTGGAATGATCTGCTTCCAGTGCTTTGAAACAGATTTGGAAATACACGTTAAGAAAATGTTCCACTGATGCAACTGCATAATTTAAGTTTCCTTGATAGCAGCTAGTAATTGTTAATATTTATTTTCTATTAATGGGTTGATTTTTTTTTCATAGATATTTCTATTGAACTAATATAAAACTAAAATTAGGTATCAAAAAGGGATATTTTTGAGTTCCAAATACAGAGTAGAGCAAAGACGTCAGAGAAATATTTCCAAATAATTTATGGAGAGAAAAGTCATTTCCAAAATAAGATTGGTTTGCAACTCGGATATTTTTACTGCCAATATGATAATTGTTTTGTGAAGTGTAGAATTAATACATCACTCAAGTTATGCTTCCTCATTGTGGTAGTGGTATGTGTCCTTGAGAGAGATGAGCAAAAAACATCAGGAATGTATATTATGAATATACAGATTCCTAGCAAGATCATGAAAAATGTAAAAGCAAAGAAGCTGTATCAGGCCACTTGACAATGGCAAAGACATTTTGTACAGTATTGCATAAAAGAAAGCAATGGTAAACTATTGGAATAAAGGCACAGAGATAATGTGATTTCTGTGCTGGATGTTGAGCTTCTTGGGTCAGATGGCACTGAACATGCTCCTGAGGAACAGCTGGGGCTCTTTTGGGGTACTACAGTGTTTGTGGTGTGGCTAGATGAAAGCCTTAGGAACATCTAGTTGCTGTGTTGGCTTATTGTCATGCAGGAAAAGAAAATCCGAAACTACAAAGACAGATTACAGTGGGAACATAGAACTTAAGCATAAACATGGGAAAGTTCAACACAGAGAAAGATGAAGTAAAGTGGTTTCATACTGATATTTTAGCCATCAGAAAATGGACAATTCAGTTTACTACTTGGGGCACAAAGATCAAGTGTTGCTGTAATAGGAAGGGTGGAGCAAGAACTATTTGGTACAATGCAGTCAGTGGCTGAATAATATCAGACTTCACAGACAACTCTTTAACATGATAGTTAAGTTTATTTTCCAATCACTGATGTAGAAAAGGAGGTTCTGGTGAGTTTTATGGTCAAGCTCAATCTGACATCAAGAAAGCATGTAAGATGTTCTTCTATTGGAGACTGGATTGCCAAAGTTGGAAATAGTAAGGAGGAAAATCTTCTGAAAATATTATTAGCCTAAGAAACAGAAATGGATCTGGAGAAAAACTTAATCAGTTTCTGCCAGTCAAATGATTTTCTAACAAGCCTATACTGTATATGTGTACGTTACCAGATGTAATATCTAGAAATTAAAGTGGCTGTGCAGAAATTATATTGACCTCTACAAGGAGGTGTAAAAAGACTGAAGATGGTATTAGGAATGGAAAACAAGACTTCCAAAATAATCTCTGAACTCAAATAGAGATTCCATGCTTGAATTGGTATACTAAAAAACACAACTGGACAGATAGACCTGTTGGGAAAGGTGGAAGAAAAGGTAAGAGGACAACCATCAGCAAAGCGAGTGGATTCAATTTTAGTGGCAATGGGTGCAGCTTCAGAAGATCAAATGGGAAATGGATCATACTAGAGAAGTTCTATCTATGAGGTTACTAAGAGTCAACATTAACTTGATGGCACATAAGCAAAATAATAAAAACTAATACATTAGCTGCACAACTTGAATAATTGGCGCTCTACTATTTGAATATATTTGGAAATCATGTCTTTACAGCAGCCCAAAATGAATGTTCCTAGAGTTTTGTATTTTATCAATATACAAATATGACAATGCAGAAAGCTGAATGCTGCTAACTTTCAACATTTGTTTATACAGGAGCCATTCTCAAACTAAAGCTGCCTCATTTTTACATTGCAACTATTTGTAATTATTGAAACATCTCAATTTAGAATCATTTTTTTCTATTTCTAAAACTGTTACAAATCAGTAATAAAACACACTGAAAGGAGAACAGAAAAATGCAAGATTTCAACATTGAAATATATTGCTCACTAGTGATAATAGAAAAAAGTGTTCATAAAGAGAATAATAAAATGTTTTGAAAAAATTTTTAATGCAATCTTCTGCATTTCCAAATAAAAATGTGGGGTGAGGAGACTTTTTTTTTACTACAAGACATTCTGCAATTTGATTTTCATTTTTTTAGCATTTCAAATTGAAAATTGAATTGAAAATAAACATGGATTATCATAAAATACTTCTGAGAATTACAATAATATGAAAGTACCCTTCATTTCATTTCATTATACATTTCAATCATTTTAAAGTACTAAATATTGCCAATTGGCCTGCAATCCAACAGCATATTCAGCTCTTCCCCTTTTTATCTTAAATTATAAATCATTGACTCTTGTATATATGTGTGTATGTGTAAGTGAGCATGTGCGCACACGCACCACACATCCTAAATTATAAATTACAATAATAGAGTTAACATTCACAAAGAAACATACTGGGATACTTGTGAAAATCATGCCAGATGGCTATTATCAATGCTTAAAGATGTAAATACTTTCCATTTACAATACTATATGGCTAATATAAGGCCATTAAGAAGTGAGAGATCTGTTTCAAATGTAAAATATTTAGTCAGAAAGAATCACAAGGAACATAATGTAACTGCTCTTTGCAACTGTTCCTTTATTATATAAATATTTTTCTTTTTTGAAACATTATGCTTCTTTATTTATTTGGAAATATTAGAAGAAAGAAGATTTTATCAACATGTAGAGACATTTACTTTAACTTTTTAGACCAAATCTATGGAACCAGTTACAAAAAGTACAAGAAAAAGAAAAGCATAGCCATCACATTTATCACAAAGAGATTTAATGAGAATCACCTTGACTTGCAACACTCAAGGTTGTGGTATCACTCTGATGTTCAGAGCAAAATTGGCCTGTATTGATTCACTATTCTTGTGTTATATGTACATGGACTTTTTCATCTTGATTTGTATTTACTCCTCTTTAGGATCAAAGCACCAATGATTGTGTATCATTGGAAAGATTTATATTTACTCCTCTTTAGGATCAAAATACCATGATTGTATATCATTGGAAAGATTTATATTTACTCCTCTTTAGGATCAAAATACCAATGGTTGTATATCATTGGAAAGATTTATATTTACTCCTCTTTAGGATCAAAATACCGGTGGTTGTATATCACTGGAAAGGTTGATCAGCGTTAGACATACAAGAGTCTATAAGGTCATTCCACTTCTCCTCTTGGAATCTTTCCGAGCAATTGGGCTGAATGACAGTATTTCACTGTAAATATGCCCTTTAAAAATAAGCAAAATGTACATATATGTCAGCGCATTTTTGTTCCAACAATAAAGGCACACTGAGCACATTTTAATAAATTATAATGGATGGAGGACCGAATGCTGCTGAAAATACCTGTTGCTATCCTAGTATAATTTTTAAGAAGCAATAAAAATAATAACAGGTGGCAATATTTCATCTTATAATACATAGGACCTCCTAAACTGCTCAATTTTTAAAAGGTTATAAAAGACCAATTCTTACTAGTAGCCCATTCTATTGAATTTCCTCTCACGAAGGGATGGGTAATTTCTCTTGCTGTATTTAAATGATATTTAAGAACATTATTATAGGTGGCATTTTATGTTACTTTTATTAAGTATGGAGTTAGTTGACTAGCTGCTTTTTAAAACCTTTTAAATGTTACGATTTTATGATCCCACTATATTGAATTGTATATTTAGTATTATACTGTTTTGACTGAATAATACATGAAGATAACAAATAATACATGGCTAAGAAATGCTTTAGATATGTGAATACTTAATAATTAAATGTGGACTAAAAAAATGGACCTGTCATTAATAAACTTCAATTTATTAGATTTATCAATTCATCTCTTCAGTATAAGTGAGTCCTGTTCTAGTTTGTCATTCCATATCATAGACCCAAGAATGTACCCACTGCAAGGTGGGCTGTTCACTGCCTTTATTAAGGTTTTATAGGAAAGGATTATAAATCAAGATCTGCTTCTTTAACTTTTCATCTTATCTTTCAAATTAGGCCATTACCTGCTGGCTCTTACTTTTATCTAGTAGATTCATTTCCTGCTGCATACCCCAGGCTTTAAGCAGTTAGGGTTATTTAATTTTTAACATTAACATTTAACATTAACATTTTGAAGAGTACTCCAAATGTGGTTTATCCATAAATTCCCAAGAATTTTTCTATCAGTTAGAAAATGGAAGAGTGCCTCATTTCCTTTTTCACTTGCTAGAAAGATACCACCAACCAGTTTTTAACTATATTTTTTCCATACATGCTGTGTTTCCCCAAAAATAAGACCCGGTCTTATATTTTTTTTCCTCCAAAAAGGCATTAGGTCTTACTTTCAGGGGATGTCTTATTTTTTCCTGATACCTGCCTTGCCTCATGGTGGTGGCACTAACAGCCCCGTCCACCAGGAGCTTGCATGGCCACTTGCAGCCGCTCGCAGTAGGAGGCCATGTAGCTCGCTGCACTGTGCCGCCAACATGAGGCGAGGCAGGTGGGGGAGGAGTGGAGCTGCCCCAAGCACCTCATAGGTGTCCAAACACTTTTTGCACAGATGGAGAAATGACGGAGGCTGGAAGCTTCATCTGCTTGAAAATGGGGTGATTGGCAACGAAGTAAATCCCTGGGTTTCCACACACCCCATTTGCAAGCAGATGAAGCTTCCAGTCTCCTTCTGGGCAAAAAGCGCACAAAGCGTCTGGGTCACCTGTCTCCCCCCGCACTGGACTTACCTGCGCTCCTCCAAGGAGCCAGTGCGCTGCGGCTGCTGTTGGACACCGTTGCCCCCCGTGCGGTTGCTGCTGCCTGTGCTGGCCAGCATTATATTAGGCCCACCCCAAAAAATCAGGCTAGGGCTTATTTTGGGGGTCGGTTTTATTTTGGGGAAAACATGGCACATGAAATTTAACATGTCCATAGTTGCCAACTAGGCCAATAACCATCATGTCCGGTTCTCCACAAGATTCATAAGTCTAATGAGTTTTTTTTAAAAAAAAATATTCTGGTGAGATCTGAGCTGCTTATGGCATATAATTTGGTGGTGTCTTTAGAAAGTATTCCTTTCATTACTCTTTTTTTTTCTTTTTTCTTTTTCCTTTCCCCTTTTGAATAGTCCCTGGTCTTTATACTTTAGGAGACTTATTTCCCAAGTGCTTCTGCTTGACACTCAATCTTAAACCTAAAATGAGAAATGTGTTGGTGGATTAAGTGTCCCTCATCATGATGACGACGAAATGCAGTGTGGTGATGTTTCCATTATAGTGTGCTAAATTTTTATGTTTCTTCTTACCCAAAGAATTATGGGGCAAGTAACACTGGTAAAAAAAAGATTGGGGGAGTTACCCACAGGATTTTTCTTAATTAGTATTTGTGTAGGCCAAGTTGAAGTCTCTACTCCTATTTATGAATTTTATCTACTTCAGAGAGAACCTATACTTCAGACTGTATTCAAAATTAATATAACTAGTTATTAGGTGTGGAGGAACTGGAGGATTTCAGGTTCATTAATTCTAATGAGGATTGCACGAAAGGTAAGGATATATAAAAACTGTTCAGCTGAACTTACTTCTCCATTCATTTATTGAAAGCTTTGTACTCCCTATGGAATCATCATAGGAGTGCTGGGCTTCTGTCTCTTCCTCAACATCTCTGAATGGATCAAAGTATGAATGGGCCAGAGCTTGGGTTGCTGTGAGTCGTTTTTCTACATCGAGCTGCAACATTTTGTCAAGCAAGTCCACAGCTGCAAGGAAAGATATAAATATTGTAAAAATGAAAGAAAGCTATAATTGTGTATTATAGGAAGGATAAATCTAAAAGTTTAAAATGGTTGGCAAACTAAATTGGCTAAATTGCTTCATCCACTTTTCACATTTCAGTAAACAAATATAAGTGGCTCACTACTATAGCTGAAGCTTATTGTAGAAGGAACTTGAAGCAATAACCTTGAAAAATCTCCGTACTATAAGTTAAGTCACTTGACCTATATATGATAAAGCTTACAAAGTAGTTAAATTAGGTAGAAGGATTCAGCTTGATGCATTGTAAATTGGCATGTAACTTCAATGAAGTTTAACTTTTAAAACCTCTTTGTTGGAGTTACAGGCCACTTTACAATACATCATACTGAACCCTTCTATCTAACTACTTTATCATTTGGAATCTGAGGCAGAGTGAAACCCAAGTGACTTGACCCATATTTGTAAATGTTACATTACATTACTGGTCAGTTCTCATAATGGAGCCAGTGAAGAGTTTCTTCTCATTAAAGTAGAAGTTTTGGAAAAGTGCTCTTATCCAAACCATAGTGGGGAGGTAAAGAGTAAAATTTAGAAATATGTAGGAAATGGAAAATACTTTTTATTTGAAAGTCAAAATAAAATTCAAATATTCTTGAAATGAAACAGTGGAAATGGGACTACCTAATGTTCCCTTCAAAATCACAAAACTATGCCTCACTTATTTTGGCCATGATGGAAAATTCACTGGAGAAAGCAATTATGTTTGGAAGAGTTAGTGCTAAAAGAAAGCCAGGCTGCCAAAGAACATGATGACTGGACACCATCAAAGTTGACACCAGTCAGAGCTTAGAATAACTAAAAGTAGTAGTTCTAGATCAGAAGATGCAACGAGACCTGGCCCATAGAATCACCAAGAGTCAGATATGACTGAATGGATAACATCATCATCATCATCATCCCCTTGTTCCCTTGTTTTTCATCCCAAACTCAAGAGGAAATTGCAGTGCAGAGCATACTGACTACTGCTAGCCAATTGGCAGAAGAAATGATCACGGTATGATTTATTCAAAAAACAAATCCCCACTTGAAACAAGAATATAGACTTGCTCTTATCCACTGAGAAGAGTTACAATTGTTTACAATATGCTAATAAAATCTACATCTTGTTTCAGCAGGAAAGTTTCTTTCAGTTCTGTTAAATAAATCTTGAGGTACTGAGATAATCTCTGGTATTCAATTAATTTTTTTTCCAGTCTGAAGATGTAAGGCCACCAAGTGTTCAGATTCTATTTCCATAAACCCCTATCAGGTTTCCTTAATGTTTTCAATATGTGCCTGCCAAACTTCAACAAGCCATAACATTATTTTATTTATTGTTAAATCAGTTTATTATTATATTTATTTGCTGCCCATCTCACAGTTTCAGATGACTCTATGCAAGTTGCGATGTGATAAAATTATGCTAGTATTCTTAGTGTTTATGTAACATCAGCACTGTTAACAAAACTTGTGTTAGAAGCACACAGTACATATGTAGATGCATTTGGCTTGCCTGCTTGCAAAATTAAACACAGGCGGTACATATGAACTTTAACTGAGACCCATGCACTTGTAAATGCTAATTTCCCCTAACAGTTCTATTTTAAACGGGGGGGGGGAGACACATATTGGCCAATCATCTGGCTCAGAACAATTTTTTCTCTGCTCCTGCGCTTAACTACTTCTCAACACTCACTCCCATATCATCAGATCCTGTCTAAGCAAATTGTAGCAGGGATATGGTTGGCCCCTGCTGTCATACTGGCTCAACTTGAAAACATGTGGGTAAGAAAAGGCAATGCTGTCACAAGGCACAAAGCAGCCCAGTTGGCGTGCTAGCAGTACTTGGAACACTCCACCACATGTCATTAGTTGAAATACTCTGGGATTGGATCCAAACTCTTGCAACTCCTGTTTTGTTTTGAATACCAAAAATGCCACTTGTGGCTGCTAAGCTGGAGAAGACTGGCATGTAATACAACATTTACTTTAGAATATTTCCCATTATACTCAAGGGGATTTATTTTGACAACAACATCCAGAGGGTAATACATTATTCATGCTTAATTACATTTTGAAGATTTCTGTGTTATCAAAGCCACACAGAATACGCTGGCTCGGCTAGAATCATAAAAGAGATTGTTTTGACATGTTCATCTGTCATCTGAATAAAAGTTAAATAATACATTTCAATCTTTCTGAGGAATATTAGTTTTATCGTAAATTAAAACATATAAAAGAACTTACCCAGAGGACTGGCTTTGGGTAAAAGCAGAGATAAATCCATTTTGGGAATTTTAGGAAGTGTCTGTATGTAGTGTTTAGCCTAAAAGAAATAACATTTTTATACAGCCATACAAATATCACCTTTGAAAAGTTACATCGTATAATCAACTCTTTATAGATGAATTAGAAGCCCACATATCGGCCATGCACTTGGAGCTATGTTGTACATAAGACAAAGTAATAATTTTACTCTAGTAAGAAGAATAATATGACTTCATGGCTCCTAATATTTGCATATCTCTTTTTATCAAGATGGAAGCGTGTAATCTAATGTATAAAACGTTGCCTAATTTCATATAATGAGAGAGTGTAGAAGGCGGACAACTGGGAGAGAAACTATTCAAACCCTCTAATAAGAGTGGCCTCTTCCCCCTGCTAGTTAACTAGGTAAGGAGGGCAATATAGAAGATGGGATTCAGGAAAAGAAAGAAAAGACATCTTTAAGGAAGAGAAAGAAAAGGCATCTTTCATCCCTATCTGGCTTTGATGCTGCTCATCTTAAGAGCAATGATTACCGCTTCAAAAAAATATCTTTATGGTTCAGATGACAGTTTCTGCCTGTTTGTCCTGATTTCTCCAAGTAAATAAGGTACAATACTAATCAAAAATTAAACCAAAGTAGATTTGCATCTAAATAAACATGCATAGTACTCCATCTTCAGTTTATGGAAATGAGACCTTTCAACTTACTGATCTCTGAATATCTACATTCCTTTGCCAGTTTCATAAGAAGAATCTGTCTGTCTACAAAGATACTTTCTCACGCTATGTTTATAGCAAGCATGTTCCAACTTATTTTGGCCTTTTTTCAACACTTCTGTCATTCCTTTTTCAATTTTGATAATGCAATAGCCTGTTCATGACAAGAAAACCTTCTTAGGCTGTGGCAGTGGTGGGATTCAGCCAGTTCTCATCAGTTCAGCAGAACCAGTAGCTGATTTTTTGTTGCCCAGGCCCAGAATGGACTTCCAGAAACGGCATCCACACAGAGAACCGGTTGTTCACATATTTGAATCCCACCACTGGGCTGTGTACAGAACAGGCAACGCAAGGCCATTTTCCCTTCACAATTCTGCTTTAGAGAAGGAAAGTCCATTTGCAGATGTCTTTCTCCAGCTGTTAGAACACCAGTATTTCATTTAATTTCAGAGTTGGTGTTCAATGATCTTTGTCAGGAGTTGAATGCAGCCAACAATCCTCAACAGCGATGCAGGAATAAACAAGTACTAATGACTATTAATAATGCATACCGGTATTATAAAACTCAAAAGTTATTAAAACAAAATGCTGGTATAATATCATTCAGCTTTCTTGTCAGAGAAGCTTATAGGGGTGGTAGTTTAAAGCACTTGATTAAAGCTAGGAAGATAACCATCTCATCAGTTTTCTCTATTTTATCTGATAGGGTTGTTGGGAAGATTAATGGAGCTATGAGAAAGCACATTACTTTGACTTAATTGGAGGAGTGGTGGATATCTATGTACAATAAGAGTTGACATCATTTTAAAAAGTTAGGCAGAAAGTTAAACCTTCTAAAACAATAAGAACCTATGAGTTTGCCTCTAAAATGCAAAATAGAGTTTCTTACCGCTTTGTCTTCCAGTTTTTGCACAAATTCCTCTCCAGGGTTTCCTGTCACTTTCAGGATCTGGGTCAGCTGATCAAGATCTGGCAGGCTGAATCAAGTATTACTAACGGGGGCCAGACATTGAATTTGACAACCCCACCCTTCATAAATGGCTCCATTTATCATATATTTATCCTACCTTTTCTATAAAAGGGCAAGGTATGTACTTGTTGTTTGCATCACTAGGCTGAGAGATATTGAATCTTTCCTGCTAGATCATCGATTGTTAGGGAGAATAAAGCCTGGAACCCACAATTGTTTGTGTTAAAGTATAGATAGTCCTCGACTTACAACAGTTCATTTACTGACTGTTCAAAGTTACATCACTGAAAAAAGCGACTTATGAACAATTTTCACACTTACAACTTTTGCAGCATCCCTATGGTCACATGATCAAAATTCAAATATTTGGCCACTGACCCATATTTATGACAGTTGCAATTTCCTGGGATCATGTGATCCCCTTTTGCGACCTTCTGAGAAGCAAAGTCAATGGGTAAACCAGACTCACTTAACAATTGTGTTGCTAACTTAACAATTGCAATGATTCACTTAACAACTGTGGCAAGAAAGGTCATAAAATGGGCAAAACTCACAACAAATGTTTCACTTAGCAACACAAATTTTGGGCTCAATTGTGGTCGTACATTGAGGACTATCTGTAATATGAAAAACTTCAGAATATCAACTTATATCAGAAATGTTTAACAGCGTAATCTATGATCTCCTGCCTAAAAATGCCTTTCCGTCAACAGAGATAAGTGTGCATGTCAGTGTTCAGACTGCTGAAGAGGTTGACAGTTATCCAAGCAATGAGCAGATGTAGGCTGCCTCATCTGTATAGAAGCAGCAGGCCTCTTCCCACTTCCTAGCCCCCTCCACCATAGGCACAATCAAGAGTTTACTGACTATTCCTAGATGCCTTTTGAAAGAACAGGAGTTGCTAGAATTCTTGTGTATATAGTAACCTTAGCCTTCCTTCTAGTGCAGGGGTGTCAAACTGGTGGCCCGTGGGCTGGATGTATCATGTGTAGGCCACACCCACCCTGGCTCCACAAAGGCAAAAAACATTGTGATATGTCATGATACATCACGTGATGCGATCGAGTTTGACACCTGGGTTCTAATGACTCTTGGAACTCTGCAAAGAAGGAAAGGAGAGAGAGGGGATACTGAATGTGGTCGTTATAGAAGACTTTATCAATATAAATGTGGTTGAACTATGTCATTTCACAGAAAAACTGTGTTTGGTTTAAGAAGCTGCAGATGGGGCTGTGCAGAAATTGAGTTTTGATGAGTGAAATGTCATTTGGAGAACATGTGGACATACATGAGGGCATGCATGTCAGGAGCACCTTCAGCCAAGCATGACTTTTCCCAGGATTGTCTATGGAGATTCTCAGTCATCCAGATCATAGTTGTCTCAAAGATGCTTTTTCACAACTGTGTGTTTTTCTTTGAAGACATTTCGCTTCTCATCCAAGAAGCTTCTTCAGCTCAGTGAAGCGAAATGTCTTCAAAGAAAAACAAGAAAGTCCAGTTGCCTCATGAAAAAGCATCTTTGGGATTTTCCCAGGATCATGCATCAGCTGAAGAGGGCAACTCCATGAGTCCAGAAATAGAGACAACAGTTTTAGTGTGTTGCTGACAAATACAACATGTACCCCCATGCTTGTTTTTAATCCCATTTTTCCGACCATACCCTGATCTCTGCCCAACCTGAACAGACAGGAGCTATATTGGTGCTCAGTACTCCCTGAAGTAATTTTTGCTTTTGAAAATGAAGCCTTGAACAATCTATTATACATTGATTGAACACAGCTAAAGATCCACCCGTGATGAACATCAAGCATCAAAGAGAGAGAGAAACATTAAAAAACCTTGTTTGCAACAATTTTGCTATTACTTAAAATCCTTTAACAGGTGAAAATAGATTTTTAGATTAAACAGAGCCCACTGTAATTAATTTTTGCAACTATAAGTATTTTGAATTTTCATATTAGACTTCTTCCTACCAGTAACCCTCTATGTCAGGGATGTCAAACTGCCAGCCCGTGGGCCAGATGCGTCACATGGAAGCTGTGCCCACCCCATTTCCGGCAATGGCAAAACCGTCCTGATACGTTGCATGATGGTCACGTGATGTTGAGAGTTTGTCATGTGTGCTCTATGTTATTTATATTTCAGTCCAAAGTATGAGAGCATCAGTTTCAGACAGGGGCACAGAAAAGGATACAGTCTTTACCCTTAAACAGAGTTTTCCCAGTCAACATTTCTGCCATGATACAACCAACAGACCAGATGTCCACTATTTGGAAGTGAGAGAAATATACAAGAAAGGATTTAATGCTAAGGTTTGAAACAGCAGCACTGGAAATTAAAATACACATTTTACACATGCTTGTAACAGATCTGCTTGTTTACAAGTTACATTACTGTACCTTTAGGTATCAGACCTGGACTGCAAAAATCCAGACAAGATGCAGCCAAGAGATACAGAAAAGTCTGATTCCTTGCTGCCATCTTGTGGTCATCCAGATTTTTTCAACATAAAGCTAATAGTCCTACTTGTAATATTATCTTTTATTATTCTTATTTTATAGTTTTGAAATCCTCTTTAAGTGATATGAGGCAATGAGCTATTTTTCATAAAGGCAGTTTTTTCCCAACTTGCTGCGCACGTGCACGCACATACATACACACACACAGACTCTCAATGGGCTGTATCTAACATAATTCGTAGCCAGCAACTCTCCGATTGTGCTTGTAGAGGATTGGGGCATAGAAGAGCAATCCCTTGTGGGGACACCATAATGGGCAAGTGTGTATTCAGATTTTTTTCTATCCTAATTTGGTTAAACAAAATATATGGCTGGCACTTTCAGATATTTTAATTTTTTTTTATTCAAAGGGTACTATTACAGGAGAAAATGCATTTGAGTAGACTAATAAAACATAACCTTTTCACAGTAGTAATAGTTTTGTCAACAGCTGCATTTGAAGCACAAGTGTCCACATATCACAATGCAAATGAGTCAGAAATTATTCATGCTGATTAATTTACCAAGAGACACAGAACATGATTCTGTTCTGTTCTATTCTGTTCTCTGCAAAATAATTGGACTAGATTAATCTGAATATCAGGAATTAATAGCAGTGAAAATAAAATTATGTAACACAGTTCCTGGTAGCTGTCTGCAGTTTATGGAAGATGAGAATTCAATTCAGATGAAATATATTGTGCATCTATCTGAGTATAAGCATCACTGAAAAGAATATGACTTCTCAGTAAGCAAAGTAGGGGAATCCATAATACTTTAATTAAAGTTTGCAGAAAAGTAGACTGCAAACAATGGGCATATCACTTGCAAAGCTATACACTATGTTTTCAAACTGTAATTATTGGGCTCATGCAATTTGAAATGCCACAGCTTAACATAGTCTGAATCAGGACACCCTGTGAGGGTTTGTATTGTACTTACTGAAAAAAGGGGGAAATTAAATACATTAATAAATCACACAGAAACACCAGTGTTATCCAATAATCCACAACTTATTAAGAATTTTCCAAACCTCCTAATGAATAAATAATTTAACCCACCAGTCTGGTTGTAATGCATCCAGTTCAGAATCACTTCGGGTGCTCTGTACCAACGAGTTACAACATAGCCTGTCATCTCTGTATCTGTATGTCTTGCTAAGCCAAAATCTAAGATCTAAAAACATTAAAAAAAAAATCTTTTGCACAATGACAAATTTACAGAACAGGGTTGACATGTATCCAAAACAAAAGCAAAAAAAAAAAAAGAAGAAGCAAATTTTGTTTTTTCCGAACGCTCCACAAAGTTTCTTAAGTTCTTCCTAGAAGCAATAGATTGCTATTATAAAGCCATTGCTCTATGTGATGACTAAAAGCACCTTTAGTTGGCTTTAATGATGCCAGCTGAGGGCCTTTCCCCATTGTTGAGCCAAAGGGCAATCCACTCATCTTTGAATCAGCAGGAAACTACACTGGCTCGCAATGTGCTGCCTAATTACAATGCCTAACCTGCCTCTGTTGCCATCTGTTCTAAGACACCATCATCTTGTGTTGTCTTGATTTTGTGGGTACAGCACGTGAAAGCTAACAATTAGTTGATCCCTCTGGCTGTGCTGTCCTCTGTCTTCAGCATGTCATCAGTCACAGCACTACAGCAGGACAATATCATCTCTCCTACCTGTGCCCTATCATCTGGCATCCCATTCTGTCATAATCCACGTGGAATAATATATATATATATTTTAAAAAAACAGGCTGGGGTCAGGAAGGACTCTGAGTCAAAAATAACACTTATTTTAGCCTGCCCTCGTCTTCCTTTTTCACATATACCACAAATGCCAATTTTCAGTGTTCTGTTATGAGAGGCAAAAGAGGGGTTGATCCCATCATTCAATGCCATTTTTGCCTTGGATCAAACCAGTAAAGGTATAGAATTAAAGAATTTACAATACTGCCAGCTATAACATGCAATGCTATTGCACAATTCTGAATAAGCCAATGGCACTACACTGTGTCCAGTTGCTAGAGCAGAACTGGTGCAGAAAAGGGTGACAGGAAGAGAGAGGATGTGCCTTCATCATCTGAAATAGTCAATAATAATTCTCTGAACACATCCTAGACCTCTGTCATGTAGTGGTGGACAAGCATAACAAATTTTGCCCACCTTGAGACTGTCATTGGATGCTGTTGGTATAAAGGGAAAACACTGCTTTAACACTGGTATAGCTGAGGATAATTTAAATCAGCCTCAGCCATGGAGTAGGGACAAGAGGAAAACAAGCTAATGAGAATAGAGAAGCAAAAATACATTGCCAGGGCATGTTTGTACCATGACTAAGTACAGGTGGGAAAGTCCTGAGGGAAACCAGTTCTCTTTCATTTTTTTGAGTATTATAATCTTGTTTAGCCAAGACTCAGCTATTTTGCCAAAACTTATGTTCCAAAGGTGTGCCAAGCCTAGCTATAAATCAAGGGCAGAAAGTATAGCAATAGCAATAGTACTTAGAGACTTATATACCATCCCATGCTTTACAGTGCTCTCTGGGTGGTTTACAATATCAACATATTGTCCCCAATAATCTGAGTCCTCATTTGATCAACGTCAGAAGGATGGAAGGATGGGTCAGCCTTGAGCCCCATCAGGATCAAACTCCAGGCTGTGGGCAGAGTTAGCTTACAACATTGAATTTTAACCACTGCACCACCAGGACCCCTTCCTGTATACTCCATTCTCTTTCCATAGAAAGAGTTCTGACAAATCATTCAAGATGCCATTACCGCGGGATTCTGAAACTGAGAGTGGGTTGTAAACTGCATTAATATTACTCTGCAATTGACTTCTTAGCCCTTTGCAGTGTAATTTTAAAATTGGGAACAACATTAAACTCTACTTCTATGTACTCTTGTGAAATATAAGGGTTCTTCCAGGTGAAGGCTCTTTGCGAACATATTTTTTTCTTGTTTAATAGAAAATAGATTTTTCCCCCCCAAGGAAAGAAAATAGATTGAAAAATAATAGGAAATATGGGAAGTTTAGATGACGTCACCTAAAATTCCACTTCAAACAAAGCAATTATTTAATAAAATTCAATAAATGTGTTGCCCAGGTGCACTTTAAATTGACTGTGACTCTATCTTTAGATATCCCATCAAAATAGGTAGGTGTTATTTCCAAATAAACACACATGTATTGCAGAAGAAGGTGAACTGAAGATTCAGAACAACATAGTGAAACCAGCAATGCAATCTACTTTTTCATTAAACAAAAACAAAAATCCTACCTTTAATTCACAGTCTTCATTCACCGCTAAATTGCCTGGCTTTAGATCCTGCAGTATATGAAATTAGAAACCTCCATTGTCACTATTGCAATTTGATCTTAGAGTAGGTAATTACATAACCAGCACATTCTTTCCTCCCATCCCAGAGCCATGAATTGGGTTTTCTCCCCAACAGGCACCTAACATGCCCCAGATTGTCTGCTGCCCATATGGTCCTCAGCACTGAAAAAGCAGTTTCCTTGGCTAAAAATCTGAATGTGATCAGCCAGGATATTCAAAGGAAAAATCTGCTACTGATTAGTATATAGAATGTCAGCCAGGGAGGTGCTGTAAGATTTAGGCGCTCTGTTCCATCAATGTTTTTTCTTTAATTTTTGATTCAAATAATTGTTAATCTACCAACTTTATGATTACTGGCCGGAATCAAAGAGGCTGTTTTTCTTAATTGCACCTGGATTTGTACAGCCTTGATGCAGCTGCTCCGCACATAAATCTTACTGAAGCTGAAGATGTAAGTGTGTATGAGAGACATGTTGAACTATGGTGTCTCTTACATACATTCACAACCTTTCTCTCAAAACGTTTGTGGCCTGTTGATCTATTGATTAGTCATCCTTTCAAGCCATCTGCCACGTTTGCTGCCATCTCAGTGTTAATTGGGTCTGTACAGGCGAACATCACTGTATGTGGAGGCCATACCTTTTCCAGGTTACATTCTGTGATGGGGTTGACTTTTCAAAGAACATCCTGTGAGGAAGAGGGGCAGGACTTCCCAAAAGCAGGGTGTCCATTGGAAAGGGGAGTGTAGGCTGTAAGATGCAAGTGGCAGGTCTATTCAATTAACCTTTCAATTAGGTGCATTAAGCAAGGGATAGGCTAGTCAATTTGAGGTCTTTACACAGTCTAGATCGGCCAAATTTGGCTAAAACACATTGAAGAATATGTGCAATCTACATGAGCCAGATGAAGGGAAGGATCCCACAGCAGAACTGCTAGCCCAAAGGTACCAGAGCAGGGAAGGAAGGCAATACATGACTTCAGCCTGCCATAGCAATGGGCTGACTCTGAAATGAAGGCTGTGTTGTGAAGAAATGTCCTTGGGAAACAGTAATGGGGTATGCTTGTGCTACAGTAAGGAACTGCATGGATGAGTTCTTAAGCTGTAATCTGGTTCCCACTAATTTAATAGTTTTCTTTTAAGCTCAAAAATTGATTACAATTTATATGCTCTCTTCTTGCTGGTTGACAGCAAGTTTTTAATTCGTTTGACAGCTTTAGCAATATTTTGCCAAGGGAGGGAAGGACACCCAATCTTCCTGCTTTGCCAATGCTCTACTAGCCTAGATGTTCTACTAATAGTGCTGCATAAAACAGCAGTAGATTTGCCAGATCTAAATTTCCTTATTCTTCTTAAAAATTTTCTCCCGATACCATGTTGGCAAATTGCCTTCCATTTCATTCAACAGGAGGAAAAAAGAGAAAACCTGTTTTCCTGCCTCTCCCTACTATGCTGCTGCAGCAGAATAACAAGCCAGAGGGGATAGTAGTCAGTCTATAAAGACCTTTCATTTCCCAATTCCTCTGTTGTAATTATTAAGAGCTAAATTCCTCTCCTTCACCACAATTAACAAGAATATAAATGGTCTCCGAGGTTCTGAGTATTGCTCTGCAATTGTGTGGTATGTACTAATAGGATAGTGTGAAACATTTCTGCTCCATGTGTTCAACCAGGGAAGTGTTCTTCCTCTTTGAAAGGTACCTAATAGTCTCTCTCTAGACATGCATTTTCCCTCAGTTCTGTAATGCTTTCATTTGATTATTTCCATGTTTAAAAACTGGCCTCAGGGCATGCACAAGGCCTGTCTAGTGATGTCTTCTGCTTGGGTGTCATGTAATATGTTTTCCTCAGGCAGTTTTCAACTGCCATAGAAAAAGGTGAGCTAACAGGCTGGATTACAGGGTTTGATGCTAAAATGCATGAGGGAAATGTCAAATGAAGTACATCTCAGTGAGGAAAGAATGTATTTCCTAAGCTGAGATGTGCCATGTAGCTCCCAACTTCCACCAGCAGCAGAAGAAAGGAAGACTGGAGAGACAGAAATTCTTATGTGAACATTGCACCGAGACTTGTGTTTATTAAGACATTGGCCTGAGCATCATGTGGGGTATGATCTGGGCCCTGCTCCTGACAGCAAAAAGTTTTGGATCTGCACAATGATTTTTTTACCCTCTTTTTAAGGACAGATATGTACAATTGGCCAGGTTCCCATATTAACATGGTTTGCTAGTCTTTCGCTTAGCTTGTAAAGTGGGAAGCATTGCTAAATAAATCCTGATTTAGTTAACTAACTCTATCTTTGTAAATATATGGAAGGAGAACATCTCAACTCTTCTATTGTTTTCCTGGGGATGGGTTATTTTATAAGGAAGAATCAGTGGGCTAAGAAAGAAAAAAAAGGAACTTAGCAGTTTCACATATCCCCCCTCTCTCTATATTCTTGCACAAACATGTTTCTCCACATTAATGTTACAAAGGAAACAAGTTGGGGATAGGATGATATCAGTTGAATAGGAGCAGCTGTGGTTATTTGAAACATGCTGGTGGGCCCGAATTAGGACATTGCCACCAACTGCCAAGAGGCTTCTAGGGAGATGTGCAGGTTCTCTTCTGGGGGACAGAAAACAAAGGTCATTTGGTTTTTAGCACAGCAATAGAGATTAGGTGATCTTTTTACATACCAAAGAGGTTTGAAAAGATTTACAACAAAAGAAGTTTAGGAATATGCACTAATGGTCTCTTCCATAGCTTGGTGCCAGTGGCATTTGTGGCTGGGAAGATTATGGGAGCCACACCTGGAAGGCACCAAGTTTTAGAAGGCTGCACTGGTAAGCTATACACTCTAGAAAAGAAATAACTTTAAAAAGAACATACCCTATGAATGATTCCAGCAGAGTGAATATACTGCAAAAGAAGAAAAACACCACATGAAGATTACATACAGCCTCCTCCATAACTGATATTAATCAAGATTCCAAATAATAGAGCATGTTTTATGTAGTATCTTAGGGTACACAATGTATCTTTGCATGTGGATTAATTGTCTCAAAACAATCCTTAAAAAGTGGAAACACTGTTTCCACTGAAAAGAAAAATAATCCAATATTCTCGAATTCTTCAGAGCTTCTTGTCAACAAGCTCTTTCCCTGCAGCTTTCTCAGCCTTATCTTTGCTAAATCATGAGCTCTGGCAATCTTCCATTACTCTTCATATGCTGAATGATTAACCCCACAATCCCCGGGGGTGTGATCACTGCTGGATGGGCATGATAGGAGGTGTGAACCAAGGTGAGGACACTGATAATGAACAATTAACTACAGAGATAACAGCCATCTTGCTCATAACCAAGCTATCTTGGTTACAGACTGATGCTGTGGATGGGAATTATTTGTACTTCAAAAATGGGAGATGCTTTTGAGATGAGAAACTCCAGGTACTGTAAGTGATGGTGTCCACTTCATGTGGACATAAGTATGTAAAGCAATAGGCCAAGCAAACCAAGGATTTAATTGTCTCTATACAAATACACAAAGCATATTCCTTTGTATATACAAAGGAAACAAGAAAAAAATAGAAGGCTTCATGCAGAAAAGTGATTATGTTTTAGAAGGCATTACAGTACTGAAATTTGGTGGGACAAGATTCAGAGTGGAATGCAAAGACCTAAGGATTTAAGTCATCAAAAGCGACAGGGCAGACACTGGGGCTCTTATGTATAAAATAATTGGGTACATGAATGGAGGAATTTGAACATGAGGATCCAGTTGAAAACCTATGAGTAAGAATACTTTGATTTATTATTTAGTTCACAGTACAGGTAGGCCTCAACCTATGAACACAATTGAGCCCAAAGGGCTGTTAATCTGGCTTTCCCATTGACTTTGCTTGTCAAAAGGCCACAAAAGGTGATCACATGACCCCAGGACACTGCAACCGTAATAAATATGACTCAGTTGCCAAGCTTCTGAATTTTGATCCTATAATCATGGGGATCCTGCAATGGCCGTAAGTGTGAAAATCTGTCATAATTCACTTTTTTCAGTGTCATTGTAACTTTGAACAGTCACTAAGTGAATGACTGTAAGTTGAGGACTACCCGTATTTATCATTCAACCACCAAAGTAAACAGACTTGAATACAATTTTCTTGTATTAGATTACAGACCTTTTATGGCAAAGAGATATAGGAAGACTTAAGCTACCTGGACAAGTCTTAGAAAACCAGTTCAGCTAATACTGTAAAGTCCTCAAATTTGCTCAGGGGCCTTTTTGATTGTTTCATTTCCCAAAAGGCTGAGGAAGAGACAAAGGAATTGGCCCTTCTAAATCTTATCCCAACCAATAAGAAACAGCTGGTTGAAGAGATAAAAAACAAGATTTTGGGCGGAAGTGACAATATCTTCTTGGGATTGAAGATACTGCAGTTGGAGCACTCCCATACAAGGACACTAGATTTCTGAAGAATGAGTTTCAATAAGCTTAGAGAAGTACTGGGCAGGATCCCATTGATGAAATGTTCTGGACAAAGGAAGCACAGGAGGGTTGGAAATGTCTCAGAAATAAAATCCTGGAAGCACAGTTACAAAGCATTTCACTGAGAAAAAAAATGACAGGGGCAGTTCAAGAAATTTGTGAATGCATAGGAAGCTTTCAACTGAGTTAAAAGGTAAAAGGAAAATGGAAGCTTATGACAAGCTTTGCCTAATGATTTGCTGAAGTGAAGGTACACTCCTACAGTCAAATAAACTAGCCACTTTGTCCAAAAAGATCAACTTAGTTGATATAATTAGTAGTATGCTGCTAAATGTTTTAAGAATAAGCTCTGCTGGCACAGTTACCATTGATAAGGCACACTCCTAGCTACAGAACAGCTAGGTGTCAACCAGCTCACAAAATTCCAGAAAATTTAACAATCAGCTCTTGCAAACACATATAATCATGCAAGAGGTACATGGAAGTTCAAAAAGGTAAAGCACAAAAGAAGTTTAAGGACACAAGGGAAGTAAAAACAACAAAAAAGATTTTTTTGTCTGGCCATTTCAACAGTAAATGAAGAAAAAGAAAAGAGATGAGCCCATTTGTAAGAGAAATGGTAATGTAGTAACAGAAGACAAACAGAAAAAAAGGCCCTTTTCAACCTCTTTTTTTCTTTCATCTTCCTTGTGATATTTTTATTGCTTGTTCTATTAAAAAACAGTTCCCTCTAGGGAGGATTGGCAATCTGTTAGGGAGCATGTGACTTCTGTGAACATGTTTAAATTGCCAGGTCAGACCAGTTGCATCTGAAAATCTTGAAGGAGCTTGCAGATGTTACCTCCAAGCCGTTTTCTGTGATCTTTGAGAAATTATGGAGAATGGAGAAGGGAAAATATTGTTCTGATTTTTTTATAGGAATGGGGGATGGGGGGGAGGGAAGGACCAGAACCACCAACCAGTAAGCCTGTAATTGACACATGACAAAACTCTGCAATAGATTATTAAAGAATTGGTTAGGGAGAATTTAAAAAAAACATAAATTACTTGGCAGAAGCCAGCAAGCATTCCTCAAGAAGAAATGGCAAATGAAGTTGATCTTTTTGGACAAAGTAGCTAGTTTATTTGACTGCAGGAGTGTACCTTGACTTCAGCAAACCACTAGGCAAGGCTTGTCATAAGACCTTCATAGAGAAAATGGCACAAAGTTGACTGGCTTATGCTGTTTTTAGATGGAAACAGAGCTTGTACAATCACACCCATGAGTGCCATCATGCCCCTGACTCTCTCTCTCAGGCTAGAATTATTGCAGGGGTGCATTATAGGAAATTGGCTGGAATTCTTTTACCACACCTGCTTTCATTTTAATAAAGCTTCCTAAAGAGAACTTGGAGAGATTCATGTTTAGGAAAAATCACTTTCAGGTAAGGCAGCTATCAAAGTTCTGACAGGCACAAAGGGTGGCTGTGCGTTGTATTGAGGGAAAGTGTCAAGTGGCATATCACCAGGGTTAGACCCTGTGTTATTCAACATATTTATTACTGTCTAGAATGAGAGATTAGAAAAAAGTAATTATCACATTTGTAGATAACAAATATATGAGGAGATAGCAAATGCCTTAAGAAGACAATATCAAGATTCCATAGCATCTTGAAAAGTTGGGGAAATGGGCAGAAACCAGCACAATTAATTTCAACTGGGATGGATGTAAAATCTTTCAATCGTGTAGGAAAAAACAAAAGCTTGGTTATAGCAAATAGCAGACTATACCCCACATCAGGACATGGAAAATAATCTGAATGTCTTGGTGGATTTATTATAAAATAATTAAGAGCCAAAAGGCATCTGCCAAAAAGAAAAGCCACACCAACAGATGTAACATGTCAAAACAAGAAAATCATTCCTCTCTATTTTGCATTGGTTATGCTGCACCTTGAATAGTTCTGAGTATCACATTTTAAAAGGTTATTCACAAAATTGCAACCGAGACCATAAGATGACTTGGATAGCAAAATAAATGAGGAACATCTGGTGCTGGATGTCTTTAGCTTGAGAAGAAATTTGCAGAGAAATATGATACTGAAGCTGTCCCAATATTGGAAGAGCTATTGTCCGGAAGACAGGGCAGAATTATTTAGAGTTGTTTCAGAAGACAAGAAAAAATGACATTGTTAACAAGAAAAGGATACAGTCTTTCATCAAACCACATACTGCTTGATTGGAGGTCTTTAATAGCAGCTAGATGGCTCTTGGTCAGGGATACTAAAGTAGTAGATCCACTGGTGGGATTCAGCCAGTTTGCACCAGTTCGGCAGAACTGGTAGCTAATTTTTTGTTGCCCAGGCTCAGAATGGACTTCCAGAAGTAGCATCCACACAGAGAACCAGTTGTTCACGTATTTGAATCCCACCACTGAGTAGATCCATATACTAGGCAAGGAGATAGACTTTATTATCTCTAAGGTTCCCCTCACTCCTTTCAATGCTATGATTCTATGTTCAGAATCTGTTAAAAGATATTGTCACTACAAAAATACTAAAGAAATGAGATCTTTTGGAAAAGCTGGCAGAAATCTCTGTTCTGAATTTTTCTGAAGTTACTTACCTTCAAGCCTTTCAAAACCTGGTAGATCAGATACTGAATCTTTTCTTCACTGAATTGGTGTCCCATTATCTTTTGTAAATCTGTTTGCATGTACGGCATCACCAGGTAACTAAAAATATTTAAAAAGTAAGTATCAGAGAAAGATGTAAGTTATAATATGGTTCACCAGAAATAGGAGCTAATCCATGCTAAGACACGTACTGATTTTATAAAATTCCACTTCTGAAAATAAGAGTGCATGGCTATAATTTAGAACGAGGAATGGGAACACTAGCTCTTTAACAAAATACTGTAGCAAACAGTGTTATTCCAACAATTTTTATACCGCAGTCCATAACAAAATCATCTGAACTTTTCTGAAACCACTACTTCTATTGTCTTAAATAAGTCTATTGTCAATTTAATAGTTTAGTTGATGTGAGACTCACACTGCCGGCTTGTCAGATCCATTTAATCTGTGCTTTTCAATTTCTGGCCCTGTGTTTATTATACAACACATAGAACACAAAGGACTACCACATAAACTAGCTATTGACTGGAAGCTGAGGGCCAGTTGATTTGCACTGACTTCTTATGTAGTTACTAATTACATAGAGGTAAGTGTCATCTTTGAAACCCTTAACTATGGTACAAACCATGGCACAAACATTTCCATATGGTATTGCTTTTATATCCCCAGCCCACAGCTATGGCAGTTTAAAGTAATCTTAAAGTGAATTGTTTCAACTTAAAGTGGTGTTCTCCATCTTCGCCTGACACAGTTCTTGCTCTGGACACAATCTAGCATGCTTCATTGATGATATGGGTGATGGTCAGGATTTGGAATCTGCCCATCTTCTAATGGCTGCTCTAAGCTGCTATGGGCGTGCCTCTCACCCTCTAATCATGGGGACTGCCTTCCACAGTCATTTCAATTTGGACTGCATAAGCACAAGAGACATAGCTTCCACAGAGATACTTGCCTACATGCCAGATTGGCACTTCCTGAAGTATTTGTCAGATGTTATACAGGCTTCTTATAAAGACAGGCTTAGCACCCTTTTGAAAGAACACTAGACTTATTTTTCAAAAACAGGATTGCTGCTCAGTGCTGCAGAGAAGGTTGACTTAATCTGGGGAAGAGGTTGGATTTTGCTAGTTCGGTCAAGATTGGGTGCATTATGGGTCTTCTGTCAAAAAGTATCTTTGTTCAGTTCTGTATGTTATTGTTTCCATTACAGGGACATGGGGAATGAGTTCTATTTTGATTACTTCTTCATTATTTTGTCTACCTCTGAAAGCCCTGTTGACAGCAGTGTCGTTCTCTCTTATTAATTACTCTGTGCCCCACTTCCATAAATTTCAGAAGAATGCTAGACTCATGTCTGGAAATAGTAGAACTGGCAAGAATATCAGAAAACAACAGCAAAATTAAAAAAAAAATTGTATTCACAAATTGCACACTGCAGCTTTTAAAACCAATGCACATTAAACATATAACTACGTGTTTGTTGTTTTGCATGAAGACTTTTTAAAAATGACTAGCCCAATTTTACATGTATTTGAATATTATATATTCATATTTTGCCTTAGTGCTGCTGATATTTGTTTTACTTTTAAATGTATGTGATTAGTTTAGACTTTGAGCAATTGTTTAGTATTCATTGTTCCTTCAAAGAATATAAAAAGGACAGATGTATAAAATTACAAGAAAGCACATCCTAAGCTAAATATTAAAAGAAACTGTACAAACTGTTTATGGAAAAATCAACTGTCTTGAAATGTAAAAAAAAAAAAAAAAAAAGACATCTCTATAGATGTTACTCCGCTAGTTGTTACCCTGAAAAGTAGTGGTTTCTATTAAAGGCATTTATGTAGAAGCTAGATTGTGTCAGCACAGTGTAACATGTTTTGCATTTTAAATCATGCATTGAGCAAGTTTCATGAGACGACCTCTAACGTCTCTTGCAATTATGTTTTATGATTAATTAATGAACATACCGGTATTATAAATATCACCTCAATCAATTTTATTAAATATTGCAGATCCCATAGTACAGATTGTATTCAAATTCCTGACTGGCTTTTGTGTGACACAGATTGCTCTCAGCGGGCTTTTTTGTATAAATATTAAATATTAAAACATTACAAGGATAAAAGCTTGCTACGAGATTCCAATTCTGGCAAAGAACATATTCTCCTCCCATGTCATTCATTTTTTAAATGTAAATCTCTGTCATCAAAGCTCCATTTGAAAAAAATGCATGGCATGGTGAAAATACCATTTCTTCATTTGGGAAGTTGGAACCAATGGGAATAATTTTAAAAAAAATGTAAAAAGACAGGACATCTGATTATGGGTAGCAATTATTTCACTAGATTGGCCCCAGAAAGTTTGTCATTTAAAAGCAACAATTAAAGACAGAATTTGCAGGATGCTAAATTGTGTGCAAAAATTAATGTGTACTTTACAATAATAACAGCAATAATAAACTATGTATTGACAAAATTTCCATCTGTCAGTTGCAAAAAGCCACAGTGCTTGTATCCACACATACACTACACTGATACATTACAACTAAAGAACTAGCAGTTGTGATTTCATGTTTTTGTGTATATGATAATAATGAGCATTTTGCCTATTCTGCAGTTATTGCTTGCAGATAAATAGCAGATATTCCAATGCATCATTGTTGCTACTTTGTCATGTTTCTTGTTAGAAAAATGAAGAAACTGTAGTATTCTGGGATTTCAGACAAGCATATGCCATATAACACCACAGACTTAACACTTGTTGATAAAAAAGAGAAAAAAAAAATCTGGATAATGGACATGGCAGTACCTGGAGATAGCAGAAGAGAAGAGAAAGAATGGGAGAAAATTACAAAATACAAAGACCTGCAATTAGATGACTGTGGCAAAAGAAAAAAAAGATAGTACCAATAGTAGTAGCGACCTTGGATGCAATCCTAAAACAACTGGAGCACTTGAACAACATCAGCATTGTCAAAATTGCTCTCAGTCAATTGCAAAAGGCAGCTTTATTTGAAGCAGCTTACATCCTATGACAATATCATTAACACCATCAAACAATAACATCTGCCTATTCCAGGTTGGACTTAATAGATGGATAAAAATATCAAATCTAGCATAAACATCTGATTGACTGTGAGACCAATCATAATACCATCAAGCAACATCTGCCTATCACAGGTCCATGGAAAGGACTCAGTAGGTGGATAAAAAAAATGCCAAATCCAATCTAAACATCTGGCTGACTATGCAACCAAACATAATAATAATATAAATTGCAAAAAACACTGGAACCCCTAATTAGCTGTTGCAAGAAAATCACACAGTCTGACTACAAAGAATGGCATGACAAAGAAGTAACAATAGTGCATTGGAATATGTGCAAAAAATGCCATCTGCTTGCAAGCAAAAACTGGTGGCATCACAAATAGATCAAATAATAGAAATTGAATAAATTGAAGTGCTCTGGGACTTTAGAATTCAAGCAGACCAACCCCTGCCACACGACACCTTAGACTTAACAATTGTTGATAAGAAAGACAAAAAAGTCAAGATAGTGGATGTAGTAGTACCTGGAGACAGCAGAATAGAATAGTAGAGAAAAGGCTGGAGAAAACCACAAAATACAAACATTTCCAAAAGAAATAGAACAACTGCAGCAATAGTCACACCTTGAGTACATTCCCAAAAGATCTGGAGCACCACTTGAAGACAATTGGCACTGACAAAATCATCATCACTCTATTGCAAAAGGCAACTTTACTTGGAACAGCTTATATTTTGTGAAGAAACAACAACATCTGCCTATTCCAGGTCCTTGGGAAAGCCTCAAAAGGTGAATAAAAATGCCAACTCCAATCTAAATTTCTGGCTGACTGTATGACCAACCATAACTTATTAAATCTGTATGCCACCCAACTATCAACAATTCACAATAATATGACATTACAATAAGATCACTAAAACATGAAAGATAAAGATAAAAACGACAAAGACAGTGAAGTGAGAGGCTTTACTTTTCCTAACCAAAGGCCTGGAAAAAGAGCCAGTTCTTCACAACTTTTAAAAACAATAGTAGGGTAGGAGCCATCTGGATCTTGGAAGGAACGTCATTCAGAGGACAGGAACTGCTACAGAGAAAACATGCTTCCAGGGCTTCAATAGATGACATTGCTTAATTGAAGGAATCTGGAGCATATCAAGATTGCAGGATTGAATCAGCTAGACAGATGCTATGTGAGACATGTGGTCCCTCAAGTATCCAGGCTCTATGCCATATATGCTACATATAGCTATTTATTTATTTATTGCTAAACTTAGTGACAGAACCTGTATAGACCTATGTTTGAAAATAACAGATTTTGAGAGAAAATGATTAATGGACTGAGCCATTGTACCTTCTTTAAAAGCAATTCTTTTAGAGAGGATCAACCTATTCTTCAAACCACTTGAAAGCAGGACAAGAAGCAGTGGATGGAAACTGATCAAGGAGAGAACCAACCTAGAAATTTCCTGACAGTTTGAACAATTAATCAGTGGAATGACTTGCCTACAGAAGTTATGGGTGCTCCACACTGGAAATTTTTAAGAGGAGATTGAATAATCATCTGTCTGAAATGATACAAGGTCTCCTGCTTGAGGAGGGTGTTGGATTAGAAGACCACTAAGGTCCCTCCCCATTCTGTTATTCTGTTATAATTCTGCACTAGAACTATAGAATATTGTATGGTAGAATATGCAAACTTACAAGTCCTGGAATCCATCAAATGAAGTAGCTGAAGTGAAGACATCAAGTAATCCAATAACCTGCAAAGAGGTAGACTTGGAATGTTAGCTTACACAGAATACATATCTATCTAACATGATAAAAACAAAGCCATGCTAATTGGCAACTTGAGGTCTTTCCAAGCAATGGGCTGGGAGGAGAAGTCTTATATTTTGTGATGTTCTCATAGGAAGCTCCAAGACCAGGGAATAAATCCAGGGATAGTTGTACAGAATGTATGTTTCAAATTCTGGATGCACCAATATTTTATAAATTAATTAGAGCATACTGCACCCCAGCTGATACTACTGTAGCTGAGAAAATAAGAATTATAGAAAACTGCCAGCATATCTGTTTGCATATGTTTTATTCTTATTAGAACTCAGACTGGATTCCCATTCCTAAAAGACTACTGAATTTAGAAAAGAAAGACATTCCCATTAACAGAATGTCATCCAAAATGATGTTGCAATCTTCCTATCTAGTTCATGAAGAGAATAGGAGATTCCAACACACCAGACTAATGTCAAGAAGATGCCATGTAACAAGGATGTGTCACGTCTGTCCTTGCCATAATCATGTGCATAGGACTTGCTTACATAAAATAAATCAGAGTGAGAGTCACAGGAAAGAAGGTGCCAGGAGTGGAATTTCTTAGATATCATTTACAGCCAGTTCTGGCTACCTTACACTTGCCCTACAGTAAGCTGGCAATTGATAAAACTTTTGCTGTGCTAGCTGGTACATTGCTTAGTTAAATTTAAAAAAACCCTGTAGCTTAATAAATGCATAGTATGAAAGGACCAGATTTCTACCCAAACCACAAATCAGGCAGTAGCATCAAACCTGAAGTACAGAAATTCAATACCTGTATCAGGCAGTAACTGCAATGCCTAGCTTGTATACAGTACTGTAAGTCCACTATTGCTAGAAAATTGGGGTGGAGGGATGAAGGAAAATGGATTAAGAAGTAACTATCACTATCAGGACCTTAGAAACCCCTCAGCAGAGTGCAAAGTAGGCTTGTTTTTACACTCTGGAGCCAATGGTGGGATTCAAATATGTGAACAACCGGTTCTCTGTGTGAATGTCACTTCCGGAAGTCCATTCTGGCCTGGGCAACAAAAAATTAGCTACCGGTTCTGCCGAAGTGGTGCGAACTGGCTGAATCCCACCACTGTCTGGAGCTGCTTGAGAGTATCTGAATTATTCATAGCATATTGTAGATAATTACATTTTGCCAAGCATAATTTATCCAACCAATTATTTGGTTCTTAAATCTTTCAGCAAAAACTGAAATATGATTATCAGTAGGCACACCAGGGCATCCAGCTATGTTAAAGTCATGACAAGTTATCGTTATTGAAAATGAGTATTATAAACTTATCCCTCTTTTCATCCGCTGGACAGAATGTTTATTACGTCTAATTTTAGCCTCAGATGTACTGGGGCTACAATTTGCAAAATCCCAAAGCATCCACCATATCTCAACTCAATCAGGTTGAAAAAGGAAATATTAGAACTTGTCTGGCTGGTTGTCTTCCATCTTTGCAAGTATAGTTAACTGATGATCCAAACTTAGTACAGCAGTGATTTATAACTTTTGAATCAATATAGCAACTTGAATTAATGAGATCTAGCCATCAAATGCAGGGATGAATTGGTTATTTCATAGAAGCTGTTACCGCAAGCTGTTACTCTTTTGGGCATGCATATTTTGCTATTTATTTCGATTTTTGTCTTGACTATCAACTCAGGTGAAGATAGAAATGATGATATTAAATGAAACTTCAGCTCTATCTTCCGTTCAATTGTTATTTGTGAAAGACATAGAGAACTCTTTTGGGTACAAGCAAACATACGCAGAGAAGTAGTTACTCACATTTTCATGCTGCATGTGCTTTAGCAGTGTGAGCTCACGGTAGGCTCGTTTGGCAAAAATCTCAGACTGGAATGGGCGACAGAGCTTCTTGATAGCTACTTTGTCCCCTGTTTTCTTATCTATTGCAGAACTATGGCAAATAAGAGAAAAACATTCAGAAAGAAATTACATGGAAGTATTACGCTGATCTGTGAAATCCTAATCATATTTATATGTAAGAGAGCTTTTATTCAGTGAAGTTTATGGTATAGTAAGCATAACTAGGACTGTAGCTTTATCTGTACTGCTGCAATATTTGGATGAAAATTCACTGAATTTCTGTATATATCAATATGCATAAGGACACTTCCATATAAATTTAAGGCTTCGTTCATAACACATGGTGGTAAATAAGTTTGCCACTGCATTTTTACATGGTGAAGAACCAAAAACTGTAGACACTGCCTGATTTATTTAACCATTCTGTTCTGGAAAACTGCACAATCTAGTTTTTGTGTAGATCTGGAATTCATCTACAAGATGTACTAATTTTCATTATACATGAAAAATTCACTTTTATGCATTTTAGACATGGTTTATAGAAACATTTGTATAAAGCTGAGTCTACATAAATTGGATCTTATGTTACTTGGGGAGCATATCTACACAGACACTTTTATTTCTAGGTGCATAAAGTGTATAGGTATATGTACCTATAAAAACTTCTTTTTACATATATTATATGTTATAAGCTAAATGTAGGCTCTCTACTAGCTCTTCTCAACTGATGCCTTCTAGAAATTTTGGAATTACTATAATTCTCTGCCAGAATTAGTGTATTGCAATCTGGAGAATATTAGGTTTGGGTACCATAGCCTTCTCAAATAATGGGACACCAAATTCAATACCAAAAATTATAACTTTCAAAAACTCTTCCATCTCTCAGGGCACTTTGCAACATCACCAATCAAAATGTTAAAGGAGAGATTTTAAAATGTTGAACTATAATTTCTTAGCACTTAGTATTAATATTCACTTAAAAATGAATAAACAATTGCCTCCTCTCTGTACAGGTGGAAAGAAGAAGAACAGGAAGAGGAGGCTGAAAGTGGGATATGGACAGCAGTGTTGGAAATTAGTCTCTAGATTAGAGATCCCGGCTTGCATAGAAAGTGTGAGAATTCCGGAAGGAAAACTGAGGTTTGATTGTGCTTGTGGCATACTGGACAAAATGTGTCTCAATTGACTACCAACATCTTTACCATTAGAAAGGAATGTCAATGAAGGTGAATGAGGTAGGAATGACTTACTGAATAAGAGACCATAAAGCAAGCAGAGATAGGGGTAGGTTCAAAAATGAATAGCTGATGAATTAACATAAATTGAGTACAAAACTAAATGATCTGTAAAAATCATGTACGCTCAAACAGTTTTGTCAAATGAGGAATGAATGCATATAGAAAAATAATTCTAAATCAAGGAAGAGTATGTGAGCAGAGAGAATGTTGTAACTAGATAAAGCTGATAAGATCCTGAAAAAGAATCTTAGAGAACAAAAGACAATGTATGGACTTATGTATGGATAGAGTGGAAAAAGACAATAAAGACAATGTTCAAAGGCAGAAAAGGGTGGAGAGCTATGGTATATTATGGTAACCTTAATTATGTTTAGATTTACTTCTCTTTTAATTTCTTGCCTTTATTTTTTTTACTCACTGGTTCTCACTCTTTGACTGAATTTTTTTACCTATAATGTTTATAATATTTCTTACCTAAAAGTGGAATAACATGATGGGCAGTTATGTATCTTCTGAATACAGCACTTGGATCGGTTTTAGTTAAATAATAATGATTTACTATTTATTATTATTCAATTATTAATTTAATCATTTGATTTAAAAGTCTCTTGCAATCTGGATTTATTTCTGTTTTAATTAATAACCTTTATCTTTACTGCTATTATTGTTCATAGATTTTTGACAGTATTCAGTGGAAAGGGAATACACTTTTTACAGGCCATAAACATTTTTAATGCAACAAGCACCTATTTCATTTTTCAAAAGAAACAAGGAAAACTGAATACAGCAGTTTTGTATTTGCTGTAATATAGTATTTGCTGACCAATACTAAAGCAGGTAGCCACTCAGTGGACCTGTCATGTTTCATTCATTGCTTCTCATGCAAAAGTGGATCTATGTGGGATGGACAGACAGCTTCCTTAGTCCTGAGAAAAAGCATTAGGGTCTTACCCCAAAGGAATTCCCTCCAACATTATTATATTTTAATTTAATGTTTGGCAGTGTTACTTGGCATTTGTTCATTTGATTCTGAGGAAGAGATATATATTCAAGAATTTGAACTCAGTTAAAGATACAAAATAAATGATTGTCCTTTTTATTCCCTTGATCGTAAACACAAAGGAATGGCTATAAACAAATTATTTAAATGCCTAAATCCTCTAGGATCTGCCTGTAGCTACAAAATATTATATTTCACATTAGTCAGAATAAGTCAATACACAATTAACATTTCAAATAACTAGGCTGTCATGTGGAAATTTCTATCGCTCTGCAAAAATTATGGATGTAAATTTTAACTTTAGAAACATCTCACTCAGAAGCCAGCATAATATAAAGAAACAAAATCACCCCACCCCACAAATATATTCTATGTGACAGAAGCATTGACTCACTGGCTCTGGCTATTACAGCATGTCTGCTCCAGGCGTTTCAGCCCAAGAATCTATGAGCTGTAAAAGTCACTGCACTTTAACCGAAGTAGATCGGGTAGTTCAGAAAGAATAGTTTAATGTAAACAAGACTTGTCTGATAGCAGTAGAAGCTGGGACTGTTGGACTCAGTATTGGGAAGTACAAAAGGAGAGAGGCCCTTCCTTCCTCCATATCACCTTCTTTGTTCATCTCAACACTCATCCCAGGCCCTATAACACCTTGATTAGCCTATATGAGAAGTACCCAGCTGGAAAAGTGTTTTGCATACAACAATACAGCATTGTCATACTGCAAATCTTTGGCAGATTAATATCCTTTTTCTCTGGCTATAAATGTTTTGTGAAAAAAAGACATCATTCCAAGCATTGCTATAGTTACTTTCTATATGTCAAATATATAATCCAAGCCCAACTAACTTGAAAAACTCTAGTGTGGAAACCAGAAGGTTTAAGCAGATCTCTATTACTAAGGAAAATTGAAACTATGTGTATTTGATCATCATCAACTGCTGGTGGTCCTACAGAGTTTTTATATTAGAGTACTGGAAATAATTTAGCTATTTGGTCACTAGGAATCAAAAGCGACTTGATGGCACATAACTATTAATTGAAAATAAAATGGTGCTAGAAGATGCACCTTATTAATTTGTCATGCCAGCAATATCTGAAATGTTTTCCTTCCAACTGCAAACAAACAGCACAACATGGTATTTGAGCTTCACCCTGTCTAAAGATCAAGATACCAAATAATTGTAACACAAGAGGCCTTGCAGAAAAAGGGCAATTGGCAACTCACAAGGTTTCCATACTCAGATACCTTTCAATACCTGATCAACTGACGCTTAGAATGACGTTGAAAACTGTGGCCGGAAGGAAACCAAATTTCTTTCCAGAACGCAAATGTATATTCACCAGAGTCAAATGAAGTGATTCCCTGTGATTCCTCCTCAAAATACAGGATTCCAAGATCCTGTATATCCCTATCCATCCCCATTTCCCGCTTTGCCAAAGCCCTGAAATCCAGAGAGCCACTCACCAGACAGAGCCATAAGCACCAGATCCTACAGGGATGATAGCAGTATATCGTCTAGGAAGTTCCCACATTGTCTTGTTTACTTCTTGCCTGAAGAAGCCTTTTCTCCTGGTAAAGCTCATCTTTTCTGTGCCTGGAGTAGAACTCTCCAGTACACCAAACTCCAAAGGAACTCAGAGCCAATCTAGATTTTACCATACACAGACAGAGAGACAACTTCTCTTAGGAAAGTCAACTGAAGATTTCTTTGTCAACTGTGTTGTGAACAATGAGTGTATACGATGAGACGCTGAGACGTATAGCCCGCCTCCTTCTGCCCACACATCAGCTCAGGAAGAAGGTGTCAAGTTTCAAATTAGACACTCCTCTCACAGGTACTTTCAAAGGACTCACCTTTTCTGTGTCAAAGGTAGGCTTTATAGTAATAGAAGTAGCAGCCATGCCTGCCTAAAACAGATTTACTGCTACTACCAATACTTTTCTGAAGTCTTACTAAACTTGCAGTGTAAATGAGTAAAGACACACTGTAGCTTACTTTTATTTCTTGGATAATTTTTTTAAAATACTTTAATAATTTTACTAAACTTATCCAAGTATAAAATACAAATAATGCAACTTAATCTTCATTCATCTGATTAGCATTTCATTTGTTAATCCCACTTCCTCCTTTGGTAAGAAAGAACATCCAAAACAACTTAGAGTAGTTTTAATGTATTGCAGTGACAGATACGATGAGAAAATGTTGGAAGTTTAAAGGCAAAAAATAGTTTTCTGCAACATGGATTATTTTAGAAAGGTTTCTTTAAAAAAAATAAGAACTTTGCTGAGGCTTAAAACTGTATTATTTTATAATTCGAAATATGTTTTGTTAAAAGGTATTACTACAATGTTGTTAAAATGTGAATTATATAGTAATATATCTACACTTGAGGTCAAAGCAATGCAGAACAGAAATATTTTTAAATAAAATGGGCTTTTTTTGTTGTCCTTCAGACCAACATAAATTCCACATACGTCCAAGACATGTTACTTCTTGCATACTAATGAGGCAAATTTTGTAAGGAAAATTTTGTAAGATAGTATATAATAGCTGTAGACCATCTGATTGGAAGGGTAATTCTGAAGTTGAGATATATGAAATTTATAAGTCTGTTTGGGATAATTGAATAGGTTGTAGACAATACTTCTAGTTTAAGAGAAGTGTGTTCTCTTGTAAGAGCTGCACAACCATGATCTAAAGGGCAACTGACTGGATATTACTTTCTTGCCTGTCATCCATTGCTGGTAGTTGTTTTGAGTTGCCAGTCATGATCACATAATCACATGCCGATTGCGAGAGCTTGCAATTAGGTGGGAAAATTAATGCAGCCTCTCATTATGAAAGGTTTGGTCATACTGAAAAATGTGTGTCTGCAGTTAATAGGTCCCTGCAGAGAATGACAATCACAGACAATTTTGTCATACTCATGGACTGTTCCATCCTTTTCTTAAACAGAGAACAATTTTAGTGCTTTATAGGCACACCTTATGCTAACATTAGTATGTGTGTAGATCAGGTTTTTTTAGAAGACTGTCAGGAGTGGAAAATGTTTGTATAGTCATACAATATCTGAATATCTTAAGTTGTATTCCAAAGGCCAAATAAACTAAATGTATTATTTATTCTTGGGCTGTATTTTGAAGAATTTCTGCTTTGCAATTGAGTGAAAAGGCCTTTTTTTAAAAAAAGAAGTCCACTTTATATGCAACAAGTGCACTTAAAGCCAATTTTAAATATAAACTAAGTTTTATATCAGCAGGTGGCAGCATCTGTAAAATCATAATGGAGTTCTTCAAGCTGTGTGAATGTGGAGAAACACAGAGGCTCGCCCATCTGCCGGTATGTAAGCTACTACCAAAAACATGAACTAATAATGACTTATTTTTGGCCAATGATTAAGGTGGTTGCTTCATTCTGGCAATTTAAAGTTTGATCTAGACACGGAAGAAGCAGCAGCACCTGATTGCCATTGCTTGAATTCCAAAGCTAAAATCATGCCTAGTTAATTCTTGGAGGAACACGGCCAGGAAATTCCAGTGTTGTAAACTTAACAGGGAAGTCAGGGGGGGAAACACCTCCTAGTGGAAAACAAGAGCATACTTTTTCCATACTGTTGCCAGAAAAACTGCAAAGATATCTCCATATCATAGGTAGCAGTACTACTTTTGAGTTTTGTGATGAAAAACTGTTGCAAATACCACTTATCTTCATTATGGTACTTTTTATGCTTCATAAAACATTCTGAAATTTGTTATTTAAAATAGTGATTTTACTGATTAAAAAAAAAATCTTAAGTCAGCAATTTTCTGAGATTCAGAAGCTGGAAGGGAATCACACATGGGAAAGATCTTCAACATGCAGGGTAGTACCGTTGCCAGAACTCATTTCCAAACTGTCTGGGTTGAGTTGCGACTGTGATCTTTCAGGGCTTGGATATGGTTTTCCAGAGATCCAACTTTGGGTGCCTGGGACATGAGCGCTTCAGCTTGGATCACTTCTGAGCATGGTGGGCCAAAGGATTGGAGCAGCCTTATAATGCAGGGGAGAGACGAGAGAGGCTGCCTCTAAGGTGGGGCCTTATGCTCAAGAGCTATAGGGAAGGGAGCAAATGGGCTGGTCATTCCCACTAAGTACAATTTGGAGATTTGTTGTTTCCCATAAAAAATATTTTGTTTTGTGAGAATTAAGTTTTCAATCATTGTTGTTTGGTTCATAGACAGGAATTTGACCAGTGAGCATGGTGGTGTGCTATTTTTTACTTGGCCAAGTATAAATGTTTTTGAGAGGGGTTAGGGAGTCATCACACAGCTCCATTTGTCATTTTTATAGGGTTGCATCACTACAGAAGTTTGAAGAACTTTCATCCTAAAAATTTACAATCCTTTGTATGCTTATAGTTTGAATCCATGTTATAATATTGATGCAGCAAATGAAATACTTGGCTTTTAATGATGAGAAGATTTACATTTAGGTTTAAATAAGCATTCCTCAATAAAAGAGAAGCCAGGTTATTTTTGACAAATTTATGCACCATGCCAAGAATTAGAAATAGGAATGCAATACACTTTCTTAAACTAAGTGGGTCTTGGGTGCAAATGTTAATTTCTTCAGGTTTGTATAAAAAGCCCACTTGCCAAATTGATATTATTTAAGTGAATACAGACATCTTTTTTAAAAAAATTACTTATATTTTGTGCTTATAGGGGGGAACCACCAATATTTATTCACAGTACCTTTATCACCATGCACAAAGACCCATGGCATTTTTAAAAAATTCTAATCATTTTTATAATTAGTTTAAACTTCAAACAGACTTAGTTTGGATTTTTATTCAACAGCTTAGTCTCAGGGATAAAGCAAAGCAAATGCAGCATTTAAGGCAAATTAAATTATATGTGGCTAGTTAGGAAAATTGTTCTGTGTAATATTGGGATCCAACTGTATGCATCCTCAAGAAACTTTATCACAATTAAACGGCAATTTATAAACACCATCAGTCCATTTAGTCTGAAAAATAACTTTATTTTAAAACCAGTTGCATTGGGTGATATCCTATTTGGCAAAACCAGATAGAGCAGAATTCCTCTTTAAAGTTTGTATTTTCTGTCCAGAGATCAGACAGTACAATAGCATCATTCTAACCAGGAGTGCACTCCACAGGGGCCCCTCCATCTAAAACCTTAGCTTTGAGAGTTCCACTCAAATATAAACTTACATGTTTTTTTTAAATTCCCTTTGTAGTATTTATATGCATGAAAAGTCACAGCTAGACATAAAATGACAGATAAAAATAATCTTCCTGTATATTTGACAGAATATATCTACATTTCCATCTGAATTCTCAAACCGCAGTTCAGCAGACAGGTGATTTTGTTTAGTTTACAGAAGGCCTCTGGACAAAAAGCATGACGAAGCATTGTTCTCTGGACCCCAAGCTAAGGTTTCTTTGCAGAGGGGACTGAACTGAAGAGAAAGGAAGGATCTGATGGCTTCATTATCCACACACCCCTTCCTTTCTCTTAAAAAACAGCTTCTCTGTACAAAAGGGATAAATACAGAAAATCCCAAATCCATCAGAAAAACAAAAATATTGCAGAGCTTTCAGACAGGCATACAATTCATGCACGATGCCTGCATTATATAAATTTCAGGAAATATTTTAAAAATAGGTTCTTGGATCTTCAATACCTGATGAACACAAAATACTTGAACTGAGGCCTCCCACTCATCTGTGTGTAGGAAAATGTTTCTTGAATTCATGAATACAATGAGGTGAATTTTTCTTTAGGCACATACCAGTTGATAAATGAACTGATTTTTAAAGCCACTGATAGAAAGTTAAAGAAAGATGCATATTCATCAGTTCCTTTCCTGTTAAAAGTGCCCAAAACATTAATCATAAATTGAACAAAGTTAGATGGATGCTAAACTGTATGGCTCTAACTCTGATAACTGAATACATTAATTTATTGGCTGAGTTGCCTCTTGCAAAACAATATAAGCAAGCCTACATGCTTATACAACTACAACATGCAAAAACCCACATTTCATCTGAAGATGGTATACAAAACAGTAGCATAGCAGAGGTGAGACATCTCAGAGTTGGGCAAAGAAATACGAAAGAGAAATGACCAAATTGTTTCATGAGGGATGACTGGAATATCTGTGTCTTGATTACAGTAGTCAGGCGAGGACACCTAGGCATTTTGAGGCCTGCACTCCAAAAAGACGCAACCTCCAAATTCCATTGTTGAGACCATTAACTCAGACTTCGTTTTACTCTCAGTCATTTAAGGCAGTGTTTCTCAACCTAAGAAACTTTAAAATGTGTGGACTTCAACTCCCAGAATCCCCCAGCCAGAATGTAGATTGGAGAAATTCAGGAGTTGAAGCCATATTCCTTAAAGCTGCCAAAGTTGAGAAACACTGATTTAAGGCACAAGCTTTTTTAAAAACAACAACATCAACACCTGTTTCATATTAAAGACAGCCAGACATTCATTAGTCAACTTTTCTGCTGTTATAAAATAGTGGGGAGACTTTGTCGGAATAAGTAGCTGAAATAAATCCACTACCCCCGCATCTTGGAAAGCAGGGAGCACAGTTCAAGTAATAGTTCAGTTTCCATTTTCTAAGTCTTTTCTTGGTAGAAGAGCCATTTAATGGCAACAATTTCTACTGAGCATCTGAAATCTCAGCTTCCCTGCATACTATCTGCCTAGACCTAGAGCAATGAAAGCTGATTATCAGCAGTAAAGGCAA